CCAAATTTGGTATGCTCAACCTGGTATAATGCAAATATTGCAAAATCCGAAAAAATCCAGAATCTGAAAACACTTCTGGTCCCAAGCATTTCAGATGAGGGATATTTAACCTGTACCATATGATCCAGCAATCTCACTTCTGGTTATATATCCAAAACAATTGAAAGCAGGGTCTCGAACAGATATTTGCCCACCCATGTTCATAGCAACACTATTTATAATAGCCAAGAAGTGGAAGCAACCCAAAAGTGACATTTCAGAGTTTTCCCCCTGCACTGGCTTGCCTTATATAAGAAGAGAAAGGATTATTTGTGACCTCCACTAGAGAAAGAAAAGAGAAAATTGCAGCAAAGATAGGCCATCTAAAGATTCCCCAAATCTGTAACTCAAGTGTTCGGGCCTTCCAGATTTTCTAATATGCGATGCTGATGATCTGGGATTCTGAGAACTCCATTTCCTCACCTCTAGTTTTATTTAATTTGTTTTCTCAGTTGGACTCATCTCTGGACAAGCTTGTTAATTAGCCAGCTCCCACCATTTATCCTTTTGAGCCAACAAAGGAATGCTTAGGATTTCTAAGTCACTGAACACATGCAATACCAGAACTATCAGATACATAGAAAGTTTTGTCCTTTCAGATTATATATTCTGAAATTTTGGAGAAACTTTCTCCACTACTTGCCTTCCCTGAACCTAGATTCTCTCCAAGAAATAAATACTTGAATTTTCAAGCTACTATTTGTGGCAGCCTTCATGTGATCTGCTGGCCTTTTATGACTAATCTGTATAGCACAGTAATCATTATATGAATATGTGAGTTGATTACTCATATTTGTTTTTAAATTTTTATGTGAAGAAGATCATGGAATCAGGAAATCATAATTTGAAGATCACAATGACATTGTTGATTTAGGTAGAGGTCATCAATGGAAGGTTGATGAGGACCTTTATAATGGCGAATTCAGGCTGCCGTCAACCGAACCAACTAAGAGCGGGACAACCACACATTATATCCTTTCTGATACAATATAATGTGAAGTACAGAGCATCACCTATGAGGTATATCCTTGCCCAAAAAAAAAAAAAAAAAAAAGTGAGCCCTAACCTAATCGAGCCTTGAGAACAGAATTCCAGCTCACAGAAAATGCAAGAATAAGTTAAATGACACCATGACGAAGAAAACAGGCAAGCCCAGAATGTAGGACATTCTACAAAACAACTGACCTGGCTATTCTAGCAAGTCATAGGCTTGGGGGAAAAGGGAGAGAGTATTGCTCTGTATTAAACGAGATTAATATAGACTGGATAGAAGATGATACTTAGAAACTAGTGTTAATATTGCTGATATGATAATGGCATTG